AGGAGAAACCAGACAAAAGAATAGTACATACTAGTAGATTCATGAGCAGGATGGGCATCATGAGGAGAAACCAGACAAAAGAATAGTACATACTAGTAGATTCATGAGCAGGATGGGCATCATGAGGAGAAACCAGACAAAAGAATAGTACATACTAGTAGATTCATGAGCAGGATGGGCATCATGAGGAGAAACCAGACGAAAGAATAGTACATACTAGGAGATTCATGAGCAGGATGGACATCATGAGGAAAAAACCAGACAAAAGAATAGTACATACTAGTAGATTCATGAGCAGGATGGGCATCATGAGGAGAAACCAGACAAAGAGAATGTAGGAATCATAGGGGAAGGGCAGGTTGCCCTTGAGGTATGGCTCCAGGAAGTTGTCCTGGTAGTTTATCTCCCCTGCCATCATGACGAAGGTCTGCATCACGGAGAGCTCCAGCCTGTTAAAATATTTCTGCAAAACAGAAGAAACCCCATGAATTCTGCACATACTTGCTATTACCTTTAGTACAATCGAGTAGATCAGTGTTTCTCAATCCAGTCCTCGGGGACCCGCAGACAGTCCACGTTTTAGCTTCCTCCCAGCTTCCACCATCTGTGAGTCCCTGAGGACTGGGTTCGGAAACAATGGAAGAGATAAACACCAAGACGTGTGAGTAAACACTTGCACAATGTGCCTTGTATGTGTGGATACCTGTCCGACCATGAGGGCATAAAATGCAAGAGCGAAGGCGAGCATCAGGAAAAAGAAGAGGATGATGATGCTGATGAAGGTGCGCATGATCTCTCTGAACATCACCACATAGATCCCAAAATGTTCAAATCTGTACAAAAGCAGAGATCGGAGGACACTGCAAATAGTTAGAGGTCCATATGACTAATATGATAATAACTAACAGCAATAATGTAATCAAGGAGATTGACAGCAATGATGTAGTCAAGCCAGTGATGTTCAATGACATGGACTTCGGTGAGCCGACGACACGTAACAGTGAAGGGAAGTCACACCTCTGCAAGTAGAGCAGGAAATTGATCCAGGATGTGAGGACTCCCCAAGCCCCTGCTCTCCAGTGAAATGTCCCTTGGCTGTTCAGAAGAAGAGCAATCACAAAGACTAGGGAGAAGATGGCGGACTGCCAGTCAAGGCCATTGCAGATCTCTTGGATGATTTTGCAACGCTGTAGGACAAGGAAGCAAAAACATCATGGTACTTAAACAGCAAGGGACCCAGGCAGCAAAAGACTCACAGACAGTACAGACACAAAGGGAAGGATACGAACAGCACAGAAACCCTAACTCACAGATTCCTAAAACTCACAGAACCCCAAAACTCATGGGAGGGCTGGTACCTGCCGACTTATCTGTATCACCTCCTTGCCGACTACATACAGGTTCATGGCCAGGACCAGGAACATGCAGATGGTGGCAAAGAAAGACTGTGGGAAGCAGATGTATCATAGTGTTTAGGTCTGGAAAAGATGCTCGGGTAGATTTTCTGTAAAACTACAGGTAATGGCTGATTGATGACCATCATTTAAAGCGTCACAAGGACATAAGGCCCTATAATAATGAGGTTCTAATCATTGTGAGTCATAATTAACGAATCTTCAATGTATTAAATTAATTTGGACGAATTGGAAAATACAAAATGAATGATTTGAGAAGTGGTTTGGCATCAGCCATGATGTGTGTGCCCTTGTAAATGTGTAGCTTGGTTGCAATGATGTCTAATAGATTTGGCGTTTAGCTTCTTGATTGGGCAAGGAGTGGTCCAATTTATGGGGGAGACATCTGGGCTACCTTGGACAGTACCACCACGAGACGTGGCAGGTAGATTCTGAATGTACGGAGGACTGTCGTCAGGACTTTGAAAAGCTAAAGACGCTACCTTGTTCGAGTTAAAGGTCATGGTGACGTTGGTTCCATTGGCAGTGGGTGATGTTTGGTAAGTGGGCTTCATGGTCACAATGAGGTAGGACAGAGGCAGCAGACCCAGGCAGTAGACAGACAGGTTGAGTAGATGTGCTTTGATGCCATAAGCATTCCTGTGGCAGATTAAAGGAGCCCACACTCATTACATCAAGCACAACCTTTCTACAGATGGAGTGACTTATCACATGCCACGTCATTCAGGTTCTCTTGAATAGCCATGTAAATGTACATTTCATCGGTGGAGAACCTGGAATCTGCAGATACAGTCGATCTGCGAAGATGATGAAGTGCAGACTTTATACTCACCATTTCATTTCCAAATATTTTTTGCAGACGGGATGAGTGAGCAGTTCTATGCGATTAAAGTGCACCATCGTCTGGCAAAGGAACAAACAAACACAAAGGGATGCAGCTTTATAAGCAGATTATGGTCTCTGCAGTTACATACATGCAATAATTACAGATATGGTCATTATAACTAATAATGATGCTAACTTTGCTAACTTCTGATCTGTGTAATACTTCTCCCAGCACTATCTGTACTGACAGGCAGCTGTCTGGTCCTTTGGTCATACTTGCAGCATAAATCCTACAATCACTGGTGCACAAACTGGTTTCCAGCAGAGATTGAGGGAGAAAAATAGTAATGGTGACTTAATATTTTGAACACATTTTTGGGATTAAATTGGCTATAGAAAATAGACACAATACCTGAAAACCAAAGGTGACCAAACAGATTCAGCTTTCAGAAAAAAAATCAAGACATAAATAAAGGTTTCTGACTAATTTGTTGATATGGAAAAGGAAACTCTATCTGCTGGATGGGTGGAAGCTCCTCTGCTTATTCATCAATTTCAAAGCATTTTATTTATATCCAAATAATATTTTGTTGCAATGGTTACATATTTCTTGAAAAAAATCACTGACATCTCCACTTACATTGAGGGCCCAAAGCGGCTGAATTGCTCTGGCCTTATTTTGTTTGTCTTGCTTTACAAATTTCACTGGAGCTTGCAGCCACTGGAAATCATACTCGATCTGTGGGTGAAGAGAAACCCGAAGGACTCAGCATACTCGTAGAGTGAAGGTTTCAGTAAGTAAGGTCTCAACTCCCACACAGGAAATGCAAACTTACAGAATAATTGTGACTGTTGGGGTCGTCTTCCGATTCCTTGACACATGTGTCTAGAAGGAACTGAAATAAATACTGAACTTTTTAGCTTTTGATTGTCAAGCAAATGCCAATAAGGGCTCATGTCAATCCCGTGTATGATCTCTGTAATGTGAACAAACCTTGAAAGACTCTGGTAGGTTCTCTATCAGGCTAATCACAGGGTAGCCTTTAGTCGAGTCCAGCTTAAACGTGGTGAGGGCTTCTTCACATCTGCAACACCGAGATTTCATCAAACGTCTCTTCTGCTCCCCTTGTGTTATAGGACCTTCAGTCTGCAGACCAGGACTGTCGTTTCTACTGCTATGATTTTCAGAGTGTCTAGCATCAATCTTCCCTGCTTTGTCTAAGCTGTCAGGAGCGAATGTCCCCCTGATTCACCTCGGGCCACAGATGGTTGTGTTTATATGCCTAATAAACCATACTGAAAGCTCAGGGTACAGTCCTCTCTGTTTGTGACTGACAAGTTGCCTGGGCACATGATGCTCTGTTTCCCACGCTGCATTGCACCAACCTGTCACTCTCGATCGTGACATTGGTCACCTCCTTTCTCCCATGATGCACTGCTTCATGCAGGAAGGAAGCGTCGCTCTTGTTGAGTGTCATCTGGGCCCCCATATTCAGCAGCAGCTTGACCGCCTGGGCTTGGCCTCCCCTGGCGGCCACATGCAGGGCTGTGCTCTGTCCCAACGGCCCATCGGGCCAACAGGGAACATCGCATTTACTGACATCCAAAGCAACGTACAAGTCAGGGGAACCTTGCAGTCGGAGAGCAAAACTGGCCAGTGTCTCTGGAGCAGTTGGGGTTGAACGCACCTGCTCAGGGGCCCAACAATGATATGATTATAGGATTTGAACCCACAACTTTCAAAATACTGGCACCGATATCAAACCCATTTGGTTACATGGCACCCATCTTGTAGTCAATGTGTCACCAAGACCAAACGCTACTAATTTGAGCATCATACTCTAATACTGGTGAAGTCATATTATGTGTTTTAGCATATTAAGGTCTGTGTACGCTGGCTCATACCCCATCCTCATCCACCCTGTCCAGCAGCTTGATATTCGAGCCCAGGAGAACAGTCATGGTCTGCGTGTATCCTTCTGCTGCAGCATGATGCAAGCAAGTCCAACCTTTATAATCGCTAAGAAGCGCAGTGAAAAAACAGGCCAGAATGACTGGTGAATGGGACAGCCAAAACTATGGGTTACTACATATCTGCCGACATTACAAGTCATTTGGGGTACCTCATTTTCACTAGTGTAGTGGCACTTTGTGGCCAATAGGGGGCCCCACAAAAATGCGTGATTTGAGTGGTGATATAGAGTGCCACTAACCACTGCAGTGTTATCTGCATGACTGTGACCATGTCTGGGATAGGGTGTACCTAGGCTCCTCCCCATTTTTATCCACATAAATTGATCCCCCTTATTGAACCATGAAAATAGGGTAACACCCACCTGTGAAACAAGGCCCCCTTCCTGAGCAGAAGCTGCACGACCTTGAAGTGTCCGCCACGAGAAGCCAGGTGTAGGGGTGTCATGCCGCTCTCATCTCCCTCGTTCAGCAGCTTTGTGTCAGTCATGTTCTCCAGAAGCCTTTGGCATGTGTTGATCCGTCCGTACCTTTGGTGTGTAAACATCAAACATGTTCGTTTAGCTGATCTGGTGATTGGATTCTGTACAAAAAGGCTGCTGCGGCCCTTTCTGGATAAGACTGCCCACCCCTGGTACAGACAGTCCTCTGGCTGCGGCCCTTTCTGGATAAGACTGCCCACCCCTGGTACAGACAGTCCTCTGGCTGCGGCCCTTTCTGGATAAGACTGCCCACCCCTGGTACAGACAGTCCTCTGGCTTCTACGTACTCGGCTGCAAAGTGAAGTGCGGACTTCTTCTCTTTGGACTTGTGGCCCAGCGAGACGTTGAGACCCAGCATGTTTTTGACAGAATCCAGGATGCCGAGTCTGCAAGCGTAGTGCAGGGGGGTACAGCCATCTTGATCCTCCTCACTCAGCAGGGCCTTGACATCGTCCAGCTATGAAGAAGCAACCAGAAGCTACCAGACCTGACAGCTACCACCAATGTCATCACAGTCTAGTTAGGCCTTGACTGTTCTTCACCATATTTATTTGACTATAGACAGGTGTGGTGGCCGTTTCCAGGAGTGACATCAGCTTACAGATGGGACTACAGCACTGTCATTACCTGCAGAATATCTTCTGAAAGATTTTTCAGTCCTTTTGGTTGCAAAACAGCCAAATGCAAGAAGTTGCAGCCAGAATTGTCCTTAATTTTCAGATCTGCTCCTGAAGCACACAAATACGTGACACTGACAATCTCCCTTGGAATTCACACGAAACAATCAATCTCTCGGTCTAGACATCATGAAGAGTATTCGAATCCTTAACACGAGGACAGATCACAGGTCCATGACTGAAAGGCTGGAAATCCGTTTGTGGCCCTTAGTGAGATGGTCCTCTGGGTCAAACTTATGTCCTCTTTAACTTAATGATACAAAGTGATAGTAGGAGGTTTGTGGTTCTCTACGTTACACTCACCCAGTAAAAGCAGAAGGATAAGATTGTCCATGTATTACTCACCCAATGGCAATATGACGCTTAGGCTTCTCTACTTTCCATTCACCAAGGAGGTTTAGGGTTCTCTACATTTAACTCTCAAAGTAATAGCAGTAGGTTAAAGTTTTCTAAGTTCCACTCACCAAGTGATAGTAGGAGGTTAAGGTTCTCTAGGATCCATTCATCATGTGACAGCAGACAGTTAAGGTCCTTTATGTTCCACTCACCCAGTGACTGTAGGAGGCTACAGTTCTCTATGTTTAACTCACCATGTGACAGTAGAACATTCACAGTTCTCCAAGCTTGACAGCTGGTAGCCAGAAGCAAGGGGGAGTTTCCTTTACAGTCAATGCAGTTGATATCTGCGCCCTGTGGAAAGGCGTTATCCAATCACTGTGCAAGCAGACATCATCCTGAGCCTCTCTATTAATGCCAAACAATTTTCACTTCATATATTTCCTGTATTTCTTTCTGTTATGCATTTAAATTTGGCCTGAGATCTGATTCAAAGGGGATGTACTGGTGCAGGACCATTTGCATGGTGAACTGTTGTGCATGCAGGTCACTGTACCTTCAGAATGAGTGTACTGGTGCAGGACCATTTGCACAGTGAACTGTTGTGCATGCAGGTCACTGTACCTTCAGAATGAGTGTACTGGTGCAGGACTATTTGCACGGTGGACTGTTGTGCAAGCAGGTCACTGTACCTTCAGAATGAGTGTACTGGTGCAGGACTATTTGCACGGTGGACTGTTGTGCAAGCAGGTCACTGTACCTTCAGAATGAGTGTACTGGTGCAGGACTATTTGCACGGTGGACTGTTGTGCAAGCAGGTCACTGTACCTTCAGAATGAGTGTA